TCTATTGGAACCAACATTAGATGGGCTGTGTACTTTCACCATTACTATTTACTAAAATATAAATAACGATGACTATTTATATCACGATGACTATCACAAATAGTCAAATAACGATGACTATTTATGTCATACAATAACAATAACAACAAAGTTCAAACACTGCAGAAGAAAAGTGGCAATATGTAGTTATTAGCAACCTATCCCCAGAATATACCCCTATTCAAGTGGTCCACTTTATTAAAGACAAGTTAGGGTTAAAGGAGTTTATTAGATGTTATGCCCTGCTGAAAAGACAAGGTTCTTCTAATGGTTCATCATTCAAAATAGGTATGAAGTCTAAATCCTCCATTAAGTTACTATTTAATAAGGAAATTTGGCCACCTAACGTTCACATTAAATGGTCTATTGAATCTCCAACTTCTGAACCACGGTATTTAGAGTCATCACCAGAATTAAACAACAAATCCATGGAGAATACTAGAAGCCCCGTTAGCCAAGATAATTCATTAACCATTTTGAATGATAACAAAAATACAGGGGAAAAGATAAATGTAGTCTCAGATAAACATGCAATTGAAATTTGCAAATCAAAACCGCATCCTTATTCTCACATTAATTTTGTTAAAGAAAATATTGCAACGCCTACTGTAAATCTGGACCCTATGACCCCACCGAAGGTTAGATTAACCATGAACACGGACCCTTCCAACAATCGATATCTTCTAGCAAGATTAAGAGAACCAGAGATATTAAAAGCCATCAAACTGCATCTTGCCTTTCTGTACGACCAACCTGCTTCGGTTTGTTATGGGGGTTTTACGAAAACAAGCATCAAACTATTCTTGGCTTCTGAGGGACTTTCCATGACTACAGAAGATCTGCGAAAAATTTATTTGAAATTTCATGATGCCTATGGAATTGGTCCAGCTGAGGTAGACGAAGATCTAGCTGCGTTTAGGTCCTTTATCGCTGCTGAAAGAATTATCCATCTGCAAAGATCAAGTGAATGTCATACAAATTACTTTTCCACCGCTTCTCCAAGACGAAATTTTTAAATGTTTCGACGTGTTCTGAGGGTCTAGAATCCTCAAATTTAGACTGCTAGCAACTTTGGCATGGTTCTTATTAATATTCGATCGATTAGAAATAAGACAGACGAATTATTTTTGTTTCTGGAAGAATTAGGGTTTCCCCAGATAGTTGCAGTGACGGAACACTGGCTTGAAGTTAATGAGTCAATTTTCATTCAAGAATATACCACAATTGCTAGGTATGATCGTCCAAGTTCAGCTCATGGTGGCACTCTGATTCTTTCAAATAACAATGATTTTTCTTCAGTTTCGAAATATGACTATTTGCTGGGTGAAAACTACTTCGAATTTTCTTTGATTTTTAATAAGAAATTTAATCTATACATTATTTGCATTTATAGATCACCTAGCTCTGATACTGAACTATTTTTTCAGAGCCTGCTAAATTTGTTAGATATTCTGCCCATTAAAAGCAGAAAAATTTTATGTGGTGATTTTAATATTGACTACGCTGCTGTTTGTGCGACCCAACTGTCTTTGGTAACTATTTTTGAATCATATGGTCTCACAATGCACGTTAATTCTCCAACAAGAATCTCAAAAACATCATCCTCGACAATTGATTATGTGGTTTCCGATTTTCCACCCGCTGACGTCCATTCTACAGTTATTAGTGGGGGGCTTTCTGATCATGAAACGGTATATACCAAGTTTAGCAGTTTACAAACACCTCACTCAAAAACCCGACGATTAGGTAGGATTTTTTCCACTCAAAACTTTCGTAAATTCTATAATTCATGCTTGACTTCTGACTGGAGTTTTTCTTCTGGAGACATTGACTGTAATGTTAGTGATTTTCTAAATAGACTTGTATCTATTTTTAATAAAGCATTTCCTCTATTAAACATCAGGCCAAAACATAATAAACCTTGGATTACCAAAGGCATTCGCATATCTGCGAAAAATATGCGGTCTCTGCTATATATTAAAAAATTTAATGACAGTATCCCCATCTCTGATTATATCAACAAGTACAGAAAATGCTATATAAAACTACTCAAAGTAGCCAAAAAATCCTACTTTCATAATCGCTTAACAAGCTCCAAAAATATTTCAAAAGAAACATGGTCAATAATAAACGATTTTCGAAATAAAACCAGTACAGCGGATCAAACCTTTTCTTTTCCTAACCCCGAAAATCTAAATGATTACTTTGTTAATGTGAGTAAAAATATAACCTCAACTATTTCGCCACATCAAGATCCAGTTTCCTATCTCTCTAATTCAAAAAACATTGCTGATACCTTCTTTTTAAGACCAGTTGATAAGACGGAACTCATTTCAACAATTCGTAGTATAAAAAGCACATCGTCCTGTAGTACAGATGGATTATCTATTAAAATTTTCTCAAATCTACCGCATAATGTTTTGGACGTCATGGTCTCGCTAGTAAATGATTCCCTTGAAAAAGGTACATTCCCTAACTGCCTAAAGACTGCCATCGTCATTCCTCTTCATAAAGGTGGAGAAAAATCTGATGCCTGCAACTATAGACCTATTGCCTTGTTACCAGCACTATCAAAAATTATTGAAAGACTTATAAAAGTTCGACTTATGCCCTTTCTCCTTAAATATAATATTTTATCGCAAAATCAGTTCGGCTTTTTGTCTAATAAATGCACTAGTGATGCCATATTTTCTGTGTTACATGATGTATATCTATCACTAAACAGTAACCTCTCCTCCGCCACCGTTTTCTGCGACTATTCCAAAGCCTTTGACTGCGTAAATCACGACATTCTATTAAAAAAATTAACTTTCTATGGAATTCGGGGTGTGTCTTTGAACTGGTTCAAAACTTACTTGGTAGGTAGGAAACAATTGGTTAGAATAAATGACACCGACTCTAGTTGTAAAGATATTGAGTGTGGAGTACCGCAAGGTTCAGTATTAGGTCCCATTCTTTTTTTACTTTTCATTAATGACATCACTTACTTAAAAATTAAAGGGAAAATTTTTCTATTTGCTGATGATACCAGTATTACATGGAGCAGCTCTGATATTTCAACGCTTCATTCAATTATAACCGATGATTTACTTATAATCAAGGCTTGGTCAGACTCCAACTTACTTAGCTTTAACGTGGATAAGACTGTAGCATTATCTTATAAAGGAGTCATGCAACCCTTGCTTTTGAATGAGAGCCAAATCAATATCGTAAATTCCGTGAAATTTCTAGGTATTCTCATTGACAGTGATCTCAAATGGTCCTTGCATACTGACTCCTTAAGGAAGAAACTAGCCTCAGCTTGCTTTGCAATAAGATCTGTTTCGAAGGAACTAAATTTATCTTCTGCCAAAATGGCATATTTCTCATTGTTCGAGTCCCATCTTCGATATGGGCTTCCATTTTGGGGTTCTAGTACAGCGGCCCAATTTGATACTATTTTTAAGTTGCAAAAAAGAGCAATCCGTTATCTATTTGGTCTCAAACAAACAACTCATTGCAAGACTTACTTCAAAAATCACGGAATTTTGACGCTTCCCTCTTTATTTATTTTGGAAACGGTTTGTTTGATTCGAAAGCATCTAAACATTTTTCCCGATAGACCTGACCATGGCTACTCCATTAGAAATTCGGATTGTAACGTTTATTTGCCGATCCCGTCCACTCAGCTAGTAAAGAATTCTATTCTATATCGTGCAAAGAAACTTTATAATCACCTTCCAAGAGAAATTAAATCCGCAACATCCTTCATTAAGTTTCGTAAGGTGACAAAAATCTATCTCTCAGAAAGACCATATTACTCAGTTGACGAGTTTCTTAATGTATAACAAAGAAACAAAATTAGTATTGTTTATAATTACATTTGGGTGTCTCAAGCAGTGGCTACAATTTGTCTCATTTGTTGTTGTTTGTACAAATTATGTAGGTTATACAATAATTTTACTAATTTAAAATTGTGTTATTTTGTTTTTTACTATATTGTTTTTGTTTTATACTTTTTGTATTATTTGACTGATTTATTTTTTAGCTTTGTCCATAAAATTGTTCAATAATTTTCAGTGACAATAAAGCATATTTCTATTCTATTCTATTCTATTCTATCCGTTATGCTGACAGTCATTATCGCTAAAAGTGAGACAGGCCTATAGACGTTACTAACCACAATTTGTGATACTGGGGAACAGTTTGGTTTAAAGTAAATGGATTATCTCGTGGCGTGTACATCATTGTGCACCAACGGCCGATATTCGTCTGACGGTCGTAGTTATTAACGGATCTAAAAGCATTGCCCACAAATTTTCTATCAACCGAAGCAAACGGATCGCTTCTACAGAACGTTTAATAATTAGTCTAGTAAAAATAGTGTGTAGTTAGGTACTAAGTGTCTAGTAAAGTTAGTGTGTAAGTTAGGTATTAAATATAAAAACTTTTTTGAATTAACAGTTTATTGAAGAGTTTAACAATTTTCTATTTGCGGTAAATATATTTTTATTTACATTGTTATTTGTACAAAGTTATTTATAACGAATGAGTAATATCTAATAAAAGTTTTCTACACAGTGTTATAATAACCTATTCACTGTTGTTGATTTGTTCTTTCAGGAGACGTATTTGTTGAACTAACATATTTTATGTGCTGTCTTTGGCAACTTAACGCAAAGTCTAATTTTTTTCATAATTACAGATTTATGTTAGGAGAACTTATTATCAGTATTTATTTTCAAGAATATCAGTGAATACAGTTAGTGACAACATTAATCGTAATATACAAAATTAAAGTCAAGTTGCATTACTAGAACAAGCTAGTTTAAAACGTTTTTTCTAAATCACTTAGTGTTAACTACGACGGCATTAGAAGAAGATTTCGTTTACGGCAGTAACTTATGAAGAAGTAAATATGCATCACAAAGATATAAATAATATAATATTTTATTGAATTTATTGTTACTACAAAAACTCACCGGAGGGTTTTTCTCTTTTTCCTACTCCTGCTTTTGTTTTATGCCGCGTTGTGGATATCTCATCGCCGAAAATTACATGATTACAAGTAGTGCACTCGTACTCAGCAAATTTATCCATTCGACTTTGTGGCTGTTTGGAATGTCTAAAAATTAAAAACTGACAGTTGAAAAAATTGGCTTAATAAACTATTGGAAAATAAGTTTTCCAAGCTCGATTTTGGAAATGTTATTGGAAGTGAAACAGTAATCGACTTCAACATTGTTGTTTGTACGGTTTTTAGTGACTTTCATACATTTTATTTTATTTAAATTCATCTTTATTCCATAGATATTATATGTGTCATTTAGATGTTCTATTATATTCTGTAAATCATTTAAACCATAGTACTACCATTATTATAAGAGACTCATTAATATTCAGCTCAGCGGGGTGCTAGTGTTCGAGGAATGAAATTTTATAAACAAGCAGGGTTGTCAGGTTTAAAGCCAACATGGTTTAAACCATGGTTTTTTTTATTGATTTTTTTCTCTATGTTGTTGATATTATCAGAGAACTACGAATACAGAGAGAAGCGACACGTGCCCCGAAATTCGTGTACCGTTTCTGTATACGCATGCCCGAACCTGGTTGCTTTACTGTCAAAAACACGTGCGTTTTTCTTCAACTCTGGTTGTTTACGATAGTCCGTAGGCACCTGTGGTAAATACTCGACTATACAAGTGCATTTGACCATTTATCTAATTTACTTAGTAGTTTATAGTTATAGTTAAAATATATTAACATATAAGTTAAATATATAAGTTTATAGTTATAGTTTATAGTTAAAAATTTAATTTATAAGTATTTAAACTGTCTTCTGGTTATTGTTGTGCGTTTTCCGCGGATGTTCATCTGTGACAGGAAAAAGAATAAGTTTATTTAGATTTCCTAAGAATCTTCTTATCTTAGATTGCCGTCTCCCTACGGAGTGTTGGCATCATAATGGCTATTTTTATTTTAGAACTTGCTGCTCTTAAACAAATCAATCGATCTGCATTGGTACCAATCACGTAGATTCTTTAACCATGAGTTCTGCCTTCGGCCAACAGATCTTCTTCCTTGAATCTTTCCCTGTATTATCAGTCTCAAAATTTCATATTTTGGTCCCCTCATCACGTGGCCTAGGTATTCCAGTTTTCTGGTTTGTATAGTGGTGATTAGTTCTGTTTCTTTACCAACCTCTCCAGTACTTCTTTATTTGTAATTCTATCAGTCCATGATATTTTCAATACTCTGCGGTATAACCAGAGTTCGAAGGCCTCGATTCTTTTTAAATTACATTTTTTTAATGTCCAAGTCTCAGCTCCATATAATAATATTGAAAATATATAACAGCGAATGGTACGTAGTCTGATCTCCAAATTTAGATTTTTGCACGTTAGGAGTGGCTTCATTCGTATAAATGCTGATCTGGCAATCTCTATTCGTCTGTTTATTTCTACAGTATGATCATTGGTTTCATTGATCAAAGTTCCCAAATACTGATATTTTTCTACTTGTTCTATCACGTTACCATTTATTGTCAATAGGTGATGTATATTTTGTGGCCTTTTTGTAATCAGCATGTACTTCGTTTTTTTTAGCTGTTTATAGTAATTCCCATCTCAGCACTATTTATACTCAAGCTTTCGATAAGATGTTGTAGATCCTCTATACTCGTTGCTATGATCACAGTGTCGTCTGCATATCTTAAATTATTAATTAATTTTCCGTTAACGGTGACTCCCGCTTCGATATTATTGAGCGTGTTTTGGAAAATTTCTTCAGAATATAAGTTAAACAAAAGTGGTGATAACACACATCCCTGTCTAACTCCTCTACAGATCCTCATTTCTTCTGAGTGTTGCCCATCAATTTGAACTATGGCACTTTGGTTCCAATATAATGTTTGCACTATATTTATGATTTTACTGTCAATGCGCTTGTTCATAAGTATTGATATTAGTTTTTCATGTCTTACTTTATCGAAAGCTTTTTCGTAGTCAACGAAGCACAAGTGTAGATCAACATTTACATCCCGACATCGCTGAATTAATATGTTGATGGCAAATAGTCCTTCTCGAGTACCCATTCCATTTCGGAACCCGAACTGCGTCTCGCTAATATCCTCCTCTAGCCTTTCGTATATTCTCTTATGTATTATTTTTAGCAGAACTTTTAAAGTATGACTCATGAGGCTCAGTGTTCGATAATCAGAGCACTCTTTTGCTGCTTGTTTTTTAGGGATGGTTATAAATGCTGACTTTAGCCACTCCTGTGGTATTATTCCCGTATCGTACACCGTGTTGAATAAATCTGCCAATACTTCCAAGTTGTCCTCTTCCACTAGTTTTAAGAGTTCTACTGGTATTTCATCTAATCCAGCTGCCTTATTGTCTTTAGAGTTTTTGATAGCATATTTGATTTCATCTATCGTGATCTTCTGTATCTCTAAAGGATTTAATTCTTGTATTTTCTGCATTTCACCTCTTTCATCTTGGAAAAGTTCTCTAACGTACTCCTCCCATCGCCTTAACTTCTCTGGTAAATCTACTAGTAGTACTCCTTTTTTGTCTTTTATGTGTCCTTGCTGTCTATTTCGACCCATTCCAGTCACTTCTCTAATTTTTTTGTGCATATTTCTCATATCATATTTTGTTTCTAGTTCTTCTATCTCTTTACATTGCTTCATCAAATAGATTTCCTTAGCTGTTTTGATTTTTTCCTTAATTATTCGTTGTATTTCTTTATACTTCTGTAGATCTTTTCCTTTATATTTCCTTCTTTCTTCCATCAGTAATAGTATTTCTTCTGTCATCCAGTGTTTTTTAGCCTCTGATTTATGTTCTATTAAACTTTCTTGAGCTGGTTTCAGTAATGTGTTTTTTATATTACACCACTTTTTATTTACATCCATAATTTGTTTGTTGTCAGTTAGTGTTTTTTGCATATTAACATTCACATTATTTTTTATTTCGTTTTTTATTTCTTCGTTTTGTAGCATTCTTACGTTAATTTTTGGTTGTTGTTTTCTGAGTTCAATTCTTTTTAATTTTATTTTCACGTCAGCCACTAGCGGATTGTGGTCTGAGTTAACATCTGCTCCAGGATAAGTTTTAACTGAGGTTATAGAGTTTTTATATCTGCTATTTTACGAGTATAAAGTCTATCTGGTTTCTGACAATGTGGTTTTCTGTATGTGAAGGAGACGTCCATGTATATAGTCTTCTTTTAGGAAGCTGAAACCAAGTATTGGCAATTACCATATTCTTTTCTTGGCAGAATTCTATGAGCCTTTCTCCTCTCTCGTTTCTAGTTCCTAGTCCGAACTGTCCAACTATATTTTTCAACTGTACCATACTCCAATTTTTGCATTAAAATCTCCAAAAATGTAAGTAATTATCTCTAGATTTTGTTAATTTGATTGTATTGTGCAATTCTAAATAAAAGTTTTATAAGAATAATAACAGGTTTTAATTACTATTGCTTTGTACTTAAGGGATTGCTCTACTTAGCTCTCGTTAAGTAGAGCAATCCCCTTCCATACATTGGACATCCTTTCTTCCTCATATATTCTACTCATCATTTACCACAACACATTAACCTCTTCCTTTTCTACAGTATTCCAAACCTCCACAGGTATTCTATAATGTAAGAGGTATTTTTTAAATTGAATTGTATTATGTATTGCCTTTAGCAACTGACCAACTTTAAGATTTCCTTGATTATAATAAATTTACACGCCACCATTTTACTGCACTCATCTTACATCGCGAACCCCTTTGCAGTCGTTGTTTTTGAAACGTTAACTTAAGAATCCTATTCAAATTCGAGAGATATTTCCCTACCATCTTAAATATAACAGAAGATAAGCAAATGTATACAAAAGAAGTTGAATTCTAGAGGAAACTCTCACAGATAAACTAAAACTACTTACCGATGTTGATTTCCACTGAAATGTTTGTCCCAATCATTTTCGTCTTTCAGGATATGTTGGCAAGGTTCGCATAAATATTTATATGCAGGCGTTTTAATTTGAGAAGATTTCTGATGCCGCTCTGACAAAATGTGGTTCTTTAAATCAGCTCTAGTCTTTTTAACGTTAAATTTACACGCATCACAGCCAAAATAGGTGCCCCTATCTTTAAAGAATTTAATATGTGCGGCATATCTGTTTGGAATAAGATCTGTTGAGGTGTTCGTTGGAGGATAGGGAAAAGCCCGTACAAAGACATGCTCAACTTCGACTACGTCTAAAAACAAACAAAACATAAATATTAATGTAAACTATTTATTAACTTAGCGGTTACTTGATGGAAATTCATGTTCAGAAAACAAAACATAATACTGTTTATTAATGTCCACGGTGTATCGTATTTATACATAGGTCAGACTCAAGGTTAGTAAAAGGGAGGTTGAATGGTAACTCTGACATTGACAGAATGAAATATGACGTGTTACGTCACCCAGGGGTCAATTTTACAAATTGTTTGAAAACAAAATAGGAGAAGTGGTTTGGAGAATATATTTTGTTATTAAATATCGTTAGTGCTTTAGTTTATGTTAATATCTTGATATATAATATGTCTATAGATATTATTGAGTGATTTTTAGTATACAACTTGGACCCAAAACTCTTATACAAGTGTTAAGATACATTTAACGTGGTTGTGTCTTAATGGATTTTATTTCTGCTGTATTATATAGTAAAGGTAACATTGGGATTAATGCAGGAAAAACATAACTTAATTCAATTTTTTTATTGATTCACATGACTGGTGGAAATATTTGTAATGTAGCAATCTGCAAAAATAATTCAAAAAATTCCAAAAGGATGAAGGATTTAATGTTTTTACATTTCCAAAAAATGTAAAAATTCAAAAGCAATGGATGAGCAAGTGTCATAGAAAGGATAAGTGGTCCTGTTTTAATAAAAGAGTTTGTAGTATACACTTTCGCATGGAAGATTATGAGGATGCTTTAAAAGCTAAACTATTAAACATACAACCTAAAAAGCTGAAAAAAGATGGTAAGTAGATATAGTCATTTAAATGTTCAGTAAAAATGTGTTAATTTACTGATTTTGATTTTTATAATTTACTGTTAATTATGTAACTTAAAAGGTATCTATTTAATGGAATCATGTTTTAATATTTTTTATATTCTATTATATAATCCAGTAATGTAATCAGATGTTCCTTAAATATATTGAAGTTAAGGGAAAAACTACTAATTCTGATATATCTTTAATAAATAATAATATTCTGATATATCTTAAATAAAATAATTTAAATCTTTAGTTGAATCTCTTTTTCAGCATGGTTTACTTGTTTGGAGGAATTTATAATAATCCACTACATGCATTATCCTCAATTCAAAATAATTAAAAAAAAATAAATTGTATTCAACCCATTATTAATATAGTATATTAACATGTTTTAGTCACATGTATACACAAGAAAGAATCTACTTCCAATTTAATATAGTAATGCTATTCTACTACATATGTTTAGCTGCAATATTTTATGATTTCTGTAACTCTGCAGGTCCTTATCTCCCATATTCTTTAAAGATTGAATGAAATAAATAGTTATTAAAAATCCAAACGTATTTTTTTCAATATACATAGATTAATATATTTACAATCATTGCTGTTTTCGAGTTCATTTCAAGGAGTAAAGTGAATGAATTTGAATGTAGCATTCTCAGTGACGTCATTCCCGCCGTTAGATTCTCGACGCTGATTGGTGTAAAGTTACCAGACAACCTGCCTATTTTTAATAACCTTGGGTCAGACTGGAAGAGGCTTTAAAAAAAAGTTTAACAGAAGATAAAACTAGTGATTACAGACGGATGAACCAAACACAACTAAAAGATGCAATAAGCAAAAACAATATTAAATCAAGGCTCTGAACGCATGCCAGAAATAACTCTCAGCGAAATTAGACAAGCGATGAAATAAAATGAAATCCAATAAATCACCAGGAGACGATGGAATTGTGATCGAGGCTATTAAGAATGGCGGTGAACCTCTAATGAGGAAAATAAAAGATCTCTTTAATCTGAGATAAAAACTGATCTGGGAAATTACCGACCAATCAGTCTGTTAAACCACCTTTATAAATCGTAAAATAGTTTCGAAAACACAATTCAGATTTCTGCTTTTATCTGTGCTTTCTAAAAATTGCAAAGCAAAACAGACGTTGATAAAGGTGTTAAAAGAGACGTGGGGAATCTAAAATTTGCATTCCACGACACATCTTTTCAACTAAGCAGAAATCCTTAGCGAATTGGTTTCTTGTACTCGTACAGAGTAAATCCGAAAAAAAGTGAAAAAGACAGCAAATATTTGATTTCACGCAAACAGCGCCTTTGTATCTGTTGATACGTATTTCGACCTAATAGGTCTCATCAGAACAGTTATTCAAAGGTGTTCTCAACGTGAAAGATCAATATTTTCTGTCTTTTAAGAAGCAACAATAACATGGCTTCGAATACGGACGCACTAGCGACATCTAATTTAACAATCGTAAAATAGTTTCGAACCACAATTCAGATTTCTGCTTTTATCTGTGCTTTCTAAAAATTGCAAAGCAAAACAGACGTTGATAAAGGTGTTAAAAGAGACGTGGGGAATCTAAAATTTGCATTCCACGACACATCTTTTCAAACTAAGCAGAAATCCTTAGCGAATTGGTTTCTTGTACTCGTACAGAGTAAATCCGAAAAAAGTGAAAAAGACAGCAAATATTTGATTTCACGCAAACAGCGCCTTTGTATCTGTTGATACGTATTTCGACCTAATAGGTCTCATCAGAACAGTTATTCAAAGGTGTTCTCAACGTGAAAGATCAATATTTTCTGTCTTTTAAGAAGCAACAATAACATGGCTTCGAATACGGACGCACTAGCGACATCTAATTTAACAATCGTAAAATAGTTTCGAAAACACAATTCAGATTTCTGCTTTTATCTGTGCTTTCTAAAAATTGCAAGCAAAACAGACGTTGTTAAAGGTGTTAAAAGAGACGTGGGGAATCTAAAATTTGCATTCCACGACACATCTTTTCAACTAAGCAGAAATCCTTAGCGAATTGGTTTCTTGTACTCGTACGCTAAGGATTTCTGCTTAGTTGAAAAGATGTGTCGTGGAATGCAAATTTTAGATTCCCCACGTCTCTTTTAACACCTTTATCAACGTCTGTTTTGCTTTGCAAATTTTTAGAAAGCACAGATAAAAGCAGAAATCTGAATTGTGTTTCGAAACTATTTTACGATTGTTAAATTAGATGTCGCTAGTGCGTCCGTATTCGAAGCCATGTTATTGTTGCTTCTTAAAAGACAGAAAATATTGATCTTTCACGTTGAGAACACCTTTGAATAACTGTTCTGATGAGACCTATTAGGTCGAAATACGTTATCAACAGATACAAAGGCGCTGTTTGCGTGAAATCAAATATTTGCTGTCTTTTTCACTTTTTTCGGATTTACTCTGTACGAGTACAAGAAACCAATTCGCTAAGGATTTCTGCTTAGTTGAAAAGATGTGTCGTGGAATGCAAATTTTAGATTCCCCACGTCTCTTTTAACACCTTTATCAACGTCTGTTTTGCTTTGCAATTTTTAGAAAGCACAGATAAAAGCAGAAATCTGAATTGTGTTTCGAAACTATTTTACGATTGTTAAATTAGATGTCGCTAGTGCGTCCGTATTCGAAGCCATGTTATTGTTGCTTCTTAAAAGACAGAAAATATTGATCTTTCACGTTGAGAACACCTTTGAATAACTGTTCTGATGAGACCTATTAGGTCGAAATACGTATCAACAGATACAAAGGCGCTGTTTGCGTGAAATCAAATATTTGCTGTCTTTTTCACACCTTTATAAACTTTTCACGAGAGTAATCACCACAAGATTAGACAAGAAATTAGACCTATATCAAAATAGAGAAAAAGCTGGATTCAGAGCATACTTTGGAACCAACGATCACTTCCAAACAATAAAACAACTCATCGAAAAATCTATAGAATATAACAAGCCCTTAGTTTTAACATTCGTAGAGTTCCACCAAGCAATCGACTCAGTAGAACTCGACAGTGTTATAGAAGCACTAAACGAGAGCTGCATTGATAGCCGATATTCGAGGCTAATATGTAATATATATATATATATATATATATATACAGGGTGGTCCGTAAGTAATTGTACAAAAAGAAACCGTAGATTCTACACTTTAAAATATTACGATTTAAGTCAAGTTGCTTTAATAAAATGTTGATATTAAGAAAGATACAGGGTGTTAAAGTGGAAATTTAAAATTTTATTTTTCGCTATAACTTTTATGTTTGTCCACATTTATATATAAAAATTTACAACTGGGTACTATTAAATATCAGAAATTATAATTTGATGCAAACTTTGATGTAGCTGATAGAGGGCGCCACATATGCCATATATGTGGCATGTATTTGCACGTAACTTTTTTGCTCTTTAAGCTACCGGTATTTTTAATAAAAAATATTAAAGATACGTTATTTCAACAAAAAAAAGGTATACTTGTTAATATCTTAAAAACTCAACAGTTTTCGAGTAATTGCGTTTTAGGAATCAACTACATAATTCTGATTTATCGCAATTACTCCAGTCAACGAAAGAAAATTAAAGAAAAACGTCACTACTTCTGAATTTTGGTATAAAATACCTTTAATAAAGTTAATATTTAATGAATTATTAAATAAAATAAATATATCAGTAGAATAAAATAATATGATTTGATAAATAACAGAATAATTGGATTTTCCATCAAACATTTTACGTTTTGTATTAAATTAAAGTCATAATCAAAACATTTTATTTACAAACCAAATTAAGAAATAGTTAAAGTAAATAAAATTAAACTTTTTGTCAAAGTAAATGTTCAGTATGTCCACCATTTTCTTTAATTCATTTGTCAATACATTCGATAATATATCGTCTCATATTAAATAGAGTCATTGGTTCTAAAGAAATTGCTGCAGTATTGATTATAAGTGTTATAAGTATAATAATAAGTAATTTTTTGAAATGTTCATGAATTAAATAATTATATTAATATCTCACCGCAAAAATATGACTACTACAAACAATCTAATGTTCAGGAAAGTTGTATTTAAATACTGTCTCACTCCGCTTTCACTGTAATGTAATGGTTTACCATCTTGTAGAAACCACATATTTTGCCTTAAATTTGATGACAATTCTTCTAATATATTAATAAAACCATTTTATAAAAAATGTAAATAAATCTCGTGATTCAAATTGCTAGGTAATTCGCATATCCGTAAAAAATAATTATCAATGGTTCCAAACCATAGGACATGCATTTTACATATGAATTTTGAATGATGTTTTACGGATATGCGAATTACCTTGCAATTTGAATAACGAGATTTATTTACATTTTTTATAAAATGGTTTTATTGATATATTGGAAGAATTGTCATCAAACGTAAGGCGAAATATGTGGTTTCTACAAGATGGTAAACCATTACATTACAGAGAAAGCGGAGTGAGACAGTATTTAAATACACTTTCCTGAACGTTGGATTGTTCGTTGTAGTCATATTCTTGTGGTGAGATAATAATATAATTATTTAACTCATAAAAATTTCAAAAAATTACTTATTATCATACTTAAAACAACTATAATAAATACTGCAGCAGTTTGTTTAGAACCAATGATGCTATTTAATATGAGACGATATTTTATGGAATGTATTGACAAATGAATTAAAGAAAATGGTGGACATATCGAACACTTACTTTGACAAAAAGTTTAATGTTATTTAGTTTAACTATTTCTTAATTTGGTTTGTAAATAAAATGTTTTGATTATGACTTTAATTTAATACAAAACGTAAAATGTTTGATGTAAAATCCAATTATTCTGTTATATTATCAGATCCTATTATTAATTATCCTACTGATATATTTATTTTATTTATTATTTCGTTAATTATTGACTTTATTAAAGGTATTTTATATCAAAATTCGGAAGTATTGATGTTTTTATCTATTTTTCTTTCATTGCCTGGAGTAATTGCGTTAAATCAGAATTATGCAGTTGATTTGTAAAATGCGATTATCTCGAAAACTGTTGAGTTTTGAAGTTATTAACAAGTATACCTTTTATTTGTTAAAATAACGCATCTTTAATATTTTTCATAAAAAATACCGGTAACTTAAAGAACAAAAAAGTTAAGTGCAAATGTATGCGACGTATGTGGCATATGTGGCGCCCTCTATTAGCTATATCAATGTGTTCATCAAATTATAATTTCTAATATTAAATAGTACCCAGCTGTAAATTTTTATATATAAATGTTTACAAACATGAAAGTTATAGCGAAAAATGAAATTTTAAATTTCTACTTTACCACCCTGTATCTTTTTTAATATCAACATTTTATTAAAGTAAGTTGGCTTAAATCGTAATATTTTAAAGTATAGAATCTGCGGTTTCTTTTTGTACAATTACTTAAGGACCACCCTGTATATATATATATATATATATAATATATATATATATATATATATATATATATATATATATATATAAGAGTAAGAAAAAATAGTCAACAAATAGCCCCTTTTATTGACTCCAACCCATCAAAAACAGTGTTATATATATATTATATTTTATATATTATATATATTTATATATATATATATATATATATATATATATAAATATATATTTATATATATATATATTTAAATGTGACAAGCTCGATACAACTACACGCTAACAGCAACCAAATAAAAATCCAAAGAGGTATCCGACAAGGCGATACGTTGTCACATAAACTTTTCATATCGGCTCTAGAAAAAGCGATCAAACCCTTGAATGGGGTGACAAAGAAATAAATGTGGACGGAGAGATGCTACACCACCTAAGCTACGCAGACGATATAGTCCTGATTGCAGACGATTTGGGACAAACAAAGAAAATGTTGGAAGAACTTAGCACAGCCTGTCATAAAATAGGTTTAAAAATGAATATAAGAAAAACAAAATATATGACGAACTTAGTACCAAGTAAACACCTTGAAATACAAAATGAAGAAATAGAACTGGTAGAAAAATATATAATATATCTGGTTCACGAAATTAAGATAAATAAGGACAATCAAACAACCGAAGTATCCAGAAGAATAATACAAGGATCGGCAGCATATGAAGCTCTTAGGAACGTTTTTAAAAGTGACATCCCAACTAATATGAAGAAAAAAGTTTCCGACCAATGCGTGCTACCGGTGATGACCTATGGTGCAGAAACATTATCGCTCACAAAGAAAAACGCACAAAAACTAAGAATAGCGCAGAGAAGAATGGAGCGATCAATGATAGGGGCTACTCTGCGAGACAGGATTAGAAACGAAGATCTATGAGCTAAGACCAAAGTCATAGACGTCATTGAAAGAAGCTGTAACTTATGGAAATGGGCTGGACACGTTGCCAGAATGAAGCCAGTTTGGCCAGCTTGAGACCAATTGCCGATAAACGTGGCAGAGGAAGACCACCAACACGATGGCAAGACGACTTACGAAAGACAACACAAAACTGGATACAGCAAGCACAAGATAGAACACTTTGGAGACAAACAGGGCAGGCTTATGTCCAGCAGTGGATTGAGAGAGACTGATGATGATGATAATGTTCTAAGCGATCAGATCTTAGCAAAATCCTACTTAATTTCATGCAAGCAATAATTAGAAAAAACCAACTCAGCAACAATATCACGTTTTGCACAAGAAGTATCAAAATGTTTTTTTCCTGCAGCTGTTCCTAGTCATAAATTATTGCTGTTATATCCGATGCTGCAGAATATATGGTCAAAATGCAAGACAAAATTTAAAAATATGCTATACCAACTTAATACACGTTACTTGTTTTTCACATGGAATGAACTGAGTTGCGGAAGAAATTAGAAATAATTTTCCTTTTGTAAATATGTATATGGGGAACATGGTTGGAAACCACCTTTTTTCTATTCCGACTATTTCGTAGATTTAAAAAATATAACTGACGGATGAAAGTTCCCAATCTCTGTTAGATGCTAAGCAAATTTTTAAAAACAACGTTCTTCAGCAGCAACTTTTATTCATTAAATCAAATTTTAGTTTGCTTCCAAAAACTATTTCTCAATTAGAATCATCAAAGTTGTCCTTGGTAGAAAGCATAGCCTTAATAAAAGAAATTAGATCAACTTGTCAAAATGTTAAGGGTGGCACGGAAAAAGATATTTTTCAAAAATTTTAAACAATAATTCAAAAAAACAATGGTTTTCCCAAACTTACTAAGGTAGCTGACGTTCTTGTTGGTAATTTTTGCGAAGAAATAGATTACCAAATATTTTTATGAATTTAAAATATGCTCCGATTACATCCGTTGATGTGGAAAGAAGATTCTCAATTTACAAATATATGTACACAGATAAAAGCCCCAAAGTTTTTATTGGAAAATTTTAAAAAACATTTGGTCATTAGTTAATGTTTGTATTTTGAGAACCATTTGCGAAGTGGAAATTGAAACGTCACTAAACGTACTTTACCCTTTAATTGTGGCTTATTCCCATTTAAATAGTAATTACTTTAAAATGCCACAAGAAAATAGCTTCAGAACAATACAAAGTACATCTTATTTCATTTTAAATATCAAAAAATACCAATTTGCTTTAAATATACGCGAAAAGAAATATGCGTAATTTAACACATGAAGGTTTGATACGATACAAAACGGAAATGTGGGAACATCTGAACAATAACATGCAATAAAAGTAATATAGAAAAATTCTGAATACTATAATTTATATTTACCTTCATTTCTCGAAGTGGATCTGCTTTTCCGTCTTCGTTCCCTAGGTTTTTTCTCCGGAGTTTCTTTTGTTGAATCTTTAGGTTTTAATTTCTCAGTATTTATGCCGTACATACTTAGATGGTGTTCTAACAGATAATATTCGGATAAATTTTTACTATTAAATAAATCCAATATGATATTCTTATGCATTTTCCCTTGTACATGCTCAATTAAGTTTTTGTGTTGTACAGTTGCGCAGCATAAGCGACACTCTAAAGAGGTAGCTGTTTTTGGTGTAAAGTATACCTACAAAATAAGTAACCATAAGCTGGGTTTAATAATTTTTAGGATTTTAAATAATAATTTTTGTAATTAGGTTTGGCTCAGTGCACTCCAGTGGTTATTATTATGAATTGCATGAATTATTTCAAATAAAATTTTGACATTTGTTCCTAATATTGCCATTATTAATAATTCCTAATATTACCAGGACTATTAAGGGTCTAAAGGGATTAGGGACTAAATATTAACCTCTTTTACAGCATACCAAGAAAACGAGCTGAGTGATCAGAAGAAGATCTACGCTCGGCGCTGCAAATCATAACAAACGGAATCTCAATCAAAGGGGCTGCCAAGCATTATATAACATTCCTCGCTCAACGCTAGGTCTTTATCACAGAACACATAATGCCGTAAGAAAGCTTGGACCTATTTAACAAACCTGGTTAGCGCATATATATATATATATATATATATATATATATATATATATATATATATATATATATTATATATATATATATATTATATATATATATATATATATATATATATATATATATATATTACGAAAAAAAATATATTACTACAAATGGATGCAGATTGACAATCTATAAATACATATGAAAGAAATGTCTTGGGCACTTTGAAATTTAGATATTTTTTTGTACACTTTACTATCACTTTTGTCTTTAGTTTGGCTTTTGTCAGATTATATTTTATCTTGAATTGATTTAGTATAATTATTAATAAAAATATTAGTTAGTATAGGTACTATTAAATCAATAAGAATTTGTAGATTTGAACTAAGAAGTTTGAGGTTGATTACTCGATCCGCAACTAGAAAAAACTCTTAGCCACATAGCCAGAAGAACGGATCCTATGAAACTCTTGGTAATAGAAAGAAAGGTAGAAGCTGAAGACCAAGAGGAAAATCTCCAACAAAATGGGCAGATCAAATGAAGACTCTGTTGGGAAATTTCCTACATAAAGTCATCCATCTAGTACAGGATCGTAGACAATGAAGGCAGCAAGCTATCAATATTTAAAGTATCACCATACCATACTTTTTTTAAAATTATACATAAAAGAATATATAAAAAGTGTGAAGAACACATGACAAACACACAATTCGGCTTCAGGGATGCATTGGATACTCTAGAGGCACTTTTTGCAATACAAGTTCTCTTTCGAACATGCAGAGACGTGAATTGTGATATATATGTGTGTTTTGTTGATTACCAGAAAGCGTTCGACAGAATAAAACATGACGAACTGATGAAAATATTAAATTCAATTAGTCTAGACATCAGAAATATAGAGAGAGAGACATAAAGATAAAAAGGGATGTGCGACAGGGATGTATATTGTCCCCATTATTGTTCAATACATATTCAGAGCATATTATGAACCTAGCGCTAACGGACATAGACGATGGAATACTTATAAACGGAGAACGACTGAACCACATAAGAAACGCTAATGATACTGTTATTTTTGCATATAACACAAATCACCAACTTTTGTTATCTGGGTGCAAACTTAAATGAACAGTGGGAGAAATCGACGGAAATTAAGATAAGGATCGAGAAGGCAAGATCAGCTTCGTAAAAATGAAAAAAATCTTTACCAGCCAGGATATAAAACTGGAAATAAAACTTATCTTACTAAAATTTTCCGTTCATTTATATGGCGTGGAGTCATGGACCTTATTTGAAGCATCATTGAAGAGACTCGAAGGATTTGAGATGTGGTGATATAGACGCATGTTGAGGATTTCCTGGATAGACAGAGTTACTAACCAAGAAGTATTCTTTACTACATAGAATGGGTAAAGAGCGCGAACTAGTCGTAACCATAAAACGTCGCAAACTGGAATATATGTGCCATATAACGCGCAATGAACAACAATATGACCTACTTCGGACCATACTTTAAGGTAAAGTGCATGGGAAAGGAGGTCCAGGACGAAGAAGAATATCCTGGCTGCATAACCTGCGAAATTGGTTTAACTTAACCACTACCGGACTTAAGGGCAGCAGTCAACAAAGTCGACAAGAATAGCCATGTTAATGTCCAACATCCGTAATGGATAGGCACCATAAGAAGAAGATACCCTGGCAAGGTCTAAAGGAATGAGGAGGAGGGTCGAATAATATTTTTTTGCCTTTCTTCAAACATATAATATAAATGTAAATTTAAAATTATCTATTAAAACTCTGTTTTATATCGTCGGGGATTAATGAGATAAACCTCAAGAGATCAAGTTTAATGCGGTTTATAGAATATTTCTCTAATAATAATTGGTGCATCATAAGTATAGCGATAGATTAAATATATAAAAAATTGAATAAATTACCTGGTGCGCTTGATAAGGAAGTTCTAGGTTCCAAAACAACTGATGATAATTTTCCAATGCTCTCGAACTTAATTCATCGATGCACGCCTTTGTATGACGTTGACCCAAAACGTGATTAACACAATGTTTTACAGAAATCCTCTTTGCAGCATTTTTAGTAACCAAATCACAGCAACATAGAAGACAGAAGGCTCTGTATGAATTAACTTTTTGTATGCAGATGTATTGGCAACTGTCGAATTTTTTTAACGATTTGAACGAATCCGGATACAGCGTTGATTCGACGACAGGATCATATTGGGGTTTGAAGTTAAACCTAAAATAATGCAAAAATAGATTTTTAAAAATGCATAAGTAATAAACATATCAAAAATGTGTAAGGAACATCACATTTTTCCTCGTAAATACATCAATGTTATAAGTACGGTTGGGCAAAAATTAGAAATTTAATAAACGAGCATCATTAATTGTTATTGTTAGCTATAGATGTGGAACAAAGTCCATTATTTAAAATCTATTTATTGTTTATGAAATAAAATTGTTAATATAATAATTTTAACACTTAGTAATAAACTCTTAAATATTTTAAATAAAAAGAAAATAGTTAAAATAAAACAGTTAAATATCTCAAGATATATATATATGTATATATATATATATATACTTCTAGCGGTTAATGTGGGCTCCGTACTAAAACGGTATTATACGAACTCCAGGAGAATATACGCCGTGTATATTATTATCTGAGTAGCGCTTTATGTAGACTCCGACCAACACGTCGGATCAAGTGGACTCCGTAACTGGATAAAACATTTTTGGGATCCGTATACAGCTTTTAGCGTACACAACTAAGCTCCTGCGATGTTGCCAGTAGTTGTATTAGTCGTAGATTTTCAAATTTTAGAGCAGGTACATTTTAGAACTTAAAATTTATTTAAATATCCACCAGGTTAGTCATCGAGGAATTCCAAGAATATTTGGCTACTGTTTTTAAATATATTATAATATAAATTGTTAATATAATTTTATTTTATTTTTATGTTTAATAAGCACTTTGATAATTTAAATTACTTGCTCTAATTATTTTCAAACTTTAGTATCATAAACTTATTAATGCTAATATATAGCATTATTTTATAGCATTCTAATATTTTAGCTATGGATTAAATCCGAATAGCTTTTTGATATTACTTTACTTTCTCGGAGACATTATATTGTAACACAAGGATCTTATTAAATTACCAAAACCTTCCTTTCATATTTTATTCACTTATAAGGGGCAGCACTAACATCAGTAAGATAATAAGGCGTACCTATAGTTCTGGGCAGCTTAATAGAAAACTTGAATGTAGCAATTTTATTGGTTTCGGGACTGCTAACTGGATTGGGGAAGCAGGATATCAGCATTAAGTTAATGCATATAGGAATTGTTGCTTAACGGTTGAAATATCAAATACCAGAAGGTACGACGGTGGCAGTCTGAGAAAGCAAAGCAAAACAACTTAACTATTATTAGACAATATCATATTTCCTAATAAACTAATATTCACTTTATAACGAGACAAAAAGATATCGAAACAGTATGTACATACCAACGGTTTCCTATGTCGGCATCCAGCAAAATTGTTGTAATATTGATACGGGAAACAAAACCTTAAGAGAGAAATTGGCCCCAAGAAACTCTGCCTTAATAAACGGTCGAATAAACTACAGATTCTCGATTTAAATAGTAAAAAAATTAAAGAACAATTTATTAAAATAGAAACAGCGCCGATTTACGACGTAATCCATTAACGGCCCAAGGTACAAAGCAGCTCCTAGTTATGCTGATGATTATATCTATAAATATGTAAACGACATACTGAACAAAGTCCAGAGAGCACGAAAAAAGTTTCAAGTAAAATCAACAAAATGAAAACCAAATACCAGCGCATAAACATAAGAGACCGTCAGTAAATCTAGATACAACGTTAAAGTCAACAATTTCAATTTCGAAAGTATGGAAGACATTAAATATCTTAGAACAATAATCGCAGTTGGTAATACTACCACTGAAGGAGTTTAGAGCATAATACAAGCTTTAGACCTATTTTTATGTACGGATGCGAATCATTACAATGACTAAAACAAATAAAAAAAGACTTCAAATATTGATAGATAATTGATAGGGAATAAGCACATTTATAGATAAGAATGAACAGATCATACAAGGTGGATAGCAAGGATTTCGGATTGGAGCCCAATAGGAAGAAGAAAAGAGGTAGACCCCGAAGATCATGGAGGGATGAAGTGGACGAGGCCATGGAAAAACGAGACCTTAGAGATGGAGAATGGCAGAACAGAGAGGACTGGAGACGTTGGCTGAAAGAAGGAAGGCGGCGACAGCTGTAAAATTCCTTATATGATATATAGATAGATAGATAAGAATGAATAACATATCTTAGATAAATAAGCGGAACAAAAGAAACTGTGTATAAACTTGAAATTTCAGAAATAATAATTAAATGAATTAATGTAAATCGTAGGAAAAGAAATAAGAGGAGCCATGACACAGTGAAAAACTAGAAATCTTATGGAAAAATACAATAAACTATTACATTTACTCTTTAGCACCGTGAGAAGATCAAAATACAAATCTGCATACATAATTATATTAAAGAAAAGTTAATAAAAACTTCTGTTCGTCAGCAGCCAGAGAAATTACACATTATAATATATTGAATAATGATTTTAGCATAAAAAAACGGTGTTATAGTCAATAACAAGAAAACCAAATAAAAGTTCATTAACAGACAAAAGGTATGATATAGAATGGAGCATTAATGTAACAATAAAACCATATACTTTTGAAGGATTGGAGCTATTTAGATATCGCTGATAACTTTGTCACATAAAAGATAAAATCGAAAATGCATGTAGCAAACCATAGACATATAGTACAAATAGACTGAATACTGCCATACATTCACGTTTTCGCAATGCGACAGAGAAAACTGACAAAAAGCAATATCTGTATCTTTTTCTAATTGGACGGGTTTATCGACCACGTGACCTTCTCATTGGTCATTTAGGTCACGCGTTCGATAAACCTGGTAAATTAGAAAGAGATGCAGGGACTGCTTTTCGCCAGTTTTCTCTGTCGCACTGAGGAAACGGACCTGTATTGCAACAGTCAGTCTATTTGTATTTTATGTATATGTAGCAAACTGATATCCTCATATCACTATTAAATCTACAAAAAGAAGAAACTGCAATATAAACAAAATTTGTTTATTACGTGTCTAGAAAAGAACTCTAAAAAAGAATTTGGAGATAGAAACGTCAACTACATGTGTAATATAAAAATCAAATTTATTCTTCTAACCAAAATGTTCACACCAAGTTTTAATGTATTTAAATATCCGGTAGCTCAAACTACTTGTATGCTATAATAGTATTCAGTAATCCATCTCAATATGTCTGACTTTATTTTTTTTTTAATTTTTTGGATAGAATGAAAGAAATATGCCACAATATTTATTATGTACTACATATTTTATTTGACGCTTCAATGTTCAAATAGGAGTTCGTTCTTAAAAATGTACAATATTATTTTTACAAGGTATTACGTATAAGATGTTATTTATGTTTTTACTTTATCTAGTTGGTCATAATAATCAATTAGTTCGCGGTTGTTTCGCACTCTGTATTGATTTGTAATATTATCGATAACAGGTTTATATATTTCTCTAATAATTCTTCTTTCTGCGATGCTCAATCGGCTCTTATTTTGTTTTTTTCGTCGTCCATGTTTCATGTTTTAATTCTCCCCGTATAATTAGCCCATTAACAGAGAGTAATTCCATCCAATAAGAGTGGAGGCTGCTCAGTCATCAAAGACAATCATTCCATCCAGTAAGGATGAAGACTGCTTAGTCATCAAAGACAGTCGTTCTATCCAGTAGGGGTGAAGGCTGCCTAGTCGTCGAAGAGACAAGTGCTATCTGCCAAACAAGAGAGTCGTGTCTTGGTTAAGGGGTAGCTGCCCTTTGCGCTATCGCCGATTCTTTTGTGGTTGCTGTATGTCAAGGGGTAAGGTCAGCCTACATATCTGTTGCTAAAATTACTTCGCTGCTGTAACGAGTACCATTTACTGGTATATGAATTTTGTTACGAATTTATCTTATGTGCTAAATAAACTCTAATAAATCTTTTACCGCGAATTAAAAAACATGTTTTAATAATATTATTTGTATCTCTATAGGTATAATTTAGAATATAATATTATTTGTCTTATATACAAAATCATACGATTTGCGTTACATTGATATTTATGTGGCAATTAGCTATAGAGTCATTAGTCTTTCCTGTCATATCATATTTTCCTTAATCAACAAACCATAATCAAGCGGTTTAATTTGTGTAATACAATATCCCAATTCGTCTCATAATATTTAGTTTTCAAAACAGCTGTTACGCTAATAATTCGTTCACCTTTGTTAAAGCACTTTGGATTATGACTACTTTTTCTTGGCTACGCAATTTTAGTTTTTAAATTACAGTATTTATTGATATGTTATTGATAGGTTATGCAAGTGTTGAGAATAGTTTGGGATTGATATGTGAGGTTGTGAAATATTAGGTATTGTTGATAACTGGGTAGTTGTTATATTTTTATCTGTGTATGTAGTTTGAGAACTTGGGAATAATGTTAAGGGTGATATTTGAGATGGAGTTAATATTGGTATAGTTAATTAAGTAGGTATAGTCGAGGATTGTAAGGAAAAGGACTTCGCTGAAGATGCTGATGTGATCAGGACGTCATGTGTGGAAGAGTATTAACTACTGTATTTATAGTAGTAGTTGGCACTGTTGTTGTAAAGTTCTGATTTGGATTTGTACAGAATGACCAATTTGCTACAAAATGGTCAGATTTTTTACAATAGTAACACATCTGTTTTCTAAAGATAAGAAAATACGATTAGATATTTGATCGTGGTTTCTGACAATTGAGGAGGAATTAATGTAGCTTTCAAAGGAAAGATAAATGTATGTCTTGGAAAGCTCAATATTATATATCTATATACTGGGTTTGTTGTACCTCTTCGTAAAAAATTAATTGGAGGTAATAAATTGAGGCCTAATTTTTTAAGTTCATATTCTATGAAAGTGTGATAAATACTAGGACAAACAATAGAGATCAGTAATCTTTCATTTGGTGTAATTAAGCGTCGAGCATAAATTATTTGATGATTGATAGTTATTCTTTCGTTGTCAGCCTTCATGACAGTTTTTTCTAATTCTTCACTAGCTAGGTAAATACAAATACGGTGATTT